ACTCTTGCTCAGGCTGGTCTGGAACTCCTGAGCTCAAACAGTCCACCCACCTCAGCCTCCCAGAGTGCTAGGATTACAGGCATCAGCCACAGCACCCGGCTGAAAAGAAGGCTTTATTAAAAAAAAAAGATCATGACTCTGTTAAAGAAAATATTTTATTTAAAAGATCACAATTTTTACAACCCTATTTTGGCATTCCCTTATTTTTTTTAATGTGCTAGATACCTCTGGGGGAAGAAAAATGCAGTGGCCCAGGCCTGTTTCTACCTAGAGGCGCTGGGTTTTACTCAGGCTCTCAGGGCCTGCACCTACAGGAAGCCACCGGGCCAGGAGCCCACCCGCTCACAACCCGAACCATACCCATTTGCTAAGGGGCAAATTCTGGGTTTGCAGGTGCATCACTAAGGCAAGAGGTAGCAGCCCCCATCGTGGAATGGCCCTAGGGATCTGAACCCAGTGACATCTCCTGTCCTATCCACTCTGCCTTCTCAGCCCACTGCTTGTCTTCCCCAATTGTGACCTCGTGTTATTCCAGAATGAGCTCCCCTCTGGGCCCTTTTCCTTCTGGACTCTGCCCTGTAATGGGGCTGGGGACTGCAAGTGGGGAGGGAATATGCCAAGCTGGCGGTAGAGATGCGCCCTGGATAGAAGGAGACACCAGGCTCAGGTAGCCAGGAATGGATGCCAGCCTAACCAAGGGGGTCTTTCTGCCATGGCCAGCCTGACCTGACATCCTCTGCCCTCCTAGGGAAGGAGAGAAACCAAAGACTGGAAGATAAGGAATAAGTTGCAGGATGGGTTATAAGCAGAAGGCAGAAGGGATTCAGAATTAAAGAAGCTGCCCTTTCCCTGACTTTGGGGACAGCTGTCAGGGTGGGAGACAGGACCCAGGCCTTAGGCAACGCCTGCCAGGCTAGACATGAGGGATGCTGGCATCTCCCCACCCCACCCCCAACTGCCTTCCTCACAATGGGGTTCATTGCTGAGGCGGTAGGGGCATTGTAGGGGGTGTACAGTTGGGGGCCTGCCTGCCAGACACCCTTGGGGAGCCTGCCCTTTCAAGCATGAGCCACACCACCTGGGCTCCCCCACTCCCAGTGTGCTCTTAGCTCTGTCTGCCTGGCTTAGGGTCCTGGAGACCTTCTTGGAGTTCATCCAGCAACCATCATGCAAGGTGGTGCTGGGGGCCGCCCTTATACTAGGAGGTGGAGGCCTCATGCTGTGGGTTCAGAGAAAGAGGAGAAGGAAGGCAACCCTTGAATTTGCACAAAATGAGGATGAGTCACCGGAATCCCACAAAGCAGAGAAGGAGAGCTGGATCAAATCTCACTTTAGCTGCTTTTCCAAAGAGAAGCTGGTCCCCAACAGTGCCAGCACCAGCTGCAACCCTCCCCAGCCCGAGAGTGGGAGGGGAGAGGCCAGCACCACCATTCATATGGAGACCGTCACCACCAGGCACGGAGAAGTGGGCACTGCTCTGCGCCGGGAATCTTTCACCAGCAGGCAGAAGGCATCTGGGTCCTCGGTGATCAAAGATACCCACAAGGAGTCTGGAAAATCCTCGTCCTCAGATGAGGCCACGTGGGCTGCCGTCGCTGCCTGCACCAAGGAGATCGACACCAAGGGACAGCAACTGGCTAACTCCATGTTGCAGCGGGCCACGGCTTACCAGCACTCAGGCCACCTGGAGTCCAGGGACATCAACCAGGAGGAGCTGAAGGCCCTCGAGGAGGTGGAGATGAAGCTGAAAGGGAGTTTCCTCGCCAAGCGGGAAAACACCATAGCTGGTGCCAACCACATACACACTTTCTATGGCCATGGTCACCATGGCCACCAGAGCCACCAGGGTCACCCAGGCCAACCGAGCCAACAGGGTCATCCAGGCCAACCAAGCCACCAGAGTCACCCAAGCCACCAGAGCCACAGCCTGCCCAATCGCAGCCACCTATGACTCCTTTGAAGCCACCTAACCATGGATGGAGATGCCCCTTCCCCCAGCAGGGCTGGCTCCATACAAAGGCCTGTTTCTCTCCTGTGTGGCAACCTATGCGGCCCAGGGTGAGACGCTGCTGCCAAAATCCCTTCATCCTCAGGCCCCCCACGGGGATGGTGGCCCCTTCGACTCCATGAGTGGGGTCTGCCACAGAGGATGGCCGCTGGTGGAAGGAGGGCTGGGAGGAAGCAAAGCAGCTGACATACACCCCAAGGCCCCTGAGGCCCCACTGAGAGAAGACAGACAAGGCAGACCCCAGGAGCAGCCGAGAGGCCCACACTGACGCCAAATGCCTGTAACGGAGCCAATAAAGCCTTGCGTGCCCTCACTCGGAGTCCAGGGGTTCTGTGGCCAGCTGAAGGCCTGGGCGGGGATGGAGGGAGTGGGCTCCTTCTCCAGCAGTCCTGTGTGTGTGCACCTTGGCCTGGGGCCTTGGCACTGGGAATGATGTAGAACTCCATAAAACGGCCTCCCAGGTCTCAGGGTGGGGAAGGGATATCTCCGGGGCCTCAACAGCCCCCAACCTGCTGTTGCCAGGGAAGGGGGAAGCAGCCAGGTGTTAGGGGAGATGGGGAAGAAATAGGCTTCCAGAAGAAAGTAAGTAAGCCAGGTGGGACTTAGGGCCCCGGTTCTCTTGGTGCCATCCTTGCCCTATTTCTTCTCAAGCCGTGTGGCACCCCACACTGCCGTTCTGTCTCCCTGCCCCCTTGGGATCCATGTTAGTACCTCCCACCACCTACGTCCACAGCCAAGGGGCCAGCATAGCCCTCTCTTCTCGTTTGAGTTACTGTTGGGGGCTTGACTGGCTATAGCTGCTACTACTGGTATTACTAGGACTACTAGCAGCTTCCTTTTTTTTGAGGGGTTTTTTTTTTTTTTGAGTTTTTAGTATACGCCTTGCTCTGTGTTAAGTGTTAAGTCATGAGGAAGGTATTAGCTGAGCTTTGCAAGTGAGGCAGCTGAGGTTCAGAGATGTAATTTGCCTGAGATGACATGGATAGTAAGCGATGCTGCTGGGATTGGATCCCAGCCCTGCCTGACTCGGAAGTCCACACCCTAATCCCTGCCTTGTGCTGCCTCCCCGTCCTCTTCCCTCCACCCCCACATGGCTCTACCTCTCACGTGCTCACCCCTGACTGCTTCCACGTGTCCTGACACTTTCTCTGCCCTCCTGCAAGCCTGGGACTCTCCTGACCTCCTCTTCCTGGGTCCCAAGAAGCCATTTCCGGAGCTTGTCAGGCAGTTAAAGGGAAGGCAGCTGCCCACCCCCAATCAGCGACAAGGCACTAACTCCAAGTGAGTCTTTGAAATTTCTTACCGTTTGGATTTATTATGGATTTACTGATGGTTCCCAACCTGTGCGCCTCAAACCCCAGGGGCCCAGAATCAATGCACAGGATGGATAAATCCATAAACACCTTAAACGTTGTCAAATGATTTAACAGAGCACAGTTGGGCATATGTGAATTTTTTGACATTCCTAATCAATGACCTTATATACATTTTGATATATATTTGCATATTTGAAATATTAAAATAATTTATAATAAAAATAAAAATTTTAATTGGAAAAAATGGGGTCAATCACACTGGAAAATGTAGGAGGTTGCCAAATTAGACAAAAACCAAGAGAGTGCTGAGGTTTGGCTTCTGAAAGTGATTGTTAAAATGCATGCAAATATCTGGAAGACCTTAAATCCCTTGTTAAAAGCTTATTATGTGAAACTTCAGATCAGCCAATTACAACTTGGGAATCTTAACTTTAAAAAAAGTCTCAAACTGGCAAAATTCAAATAAAGCCTTTAGCTGATGGTATCATACTAACGTTAATTCTCTGGATCATCGGACTGTAGGTGGATAAGACACCATCATTTGTGGAGGCCGGTGAGGGATGTATAGAAATTCCCTGTATTATTTTTGCAACTTTTCTATAAGTCTAAAAGTAATCCAAAATTTAAAGTTAAAAAATGTTTTCAGACAATTTAGTTGTGAGCTGCAAGCAAAATGGCCTCTAGGCAGCCAACTCCAATATATACTCTTGGTAAGGACTTTTTTTGTTGTTTTTGAGACAGGGTCTAACTCTGTCACCCAGGCTAGAGTGCAGTGGTGTCATCATAGCTCACTGCAACCTCAAGCTCTTGAACTCCAGTGATCCTCCTGCCTCAGCCTCCCAAGTTGCTGGGACTACAGGTGTGCACCACCATGCCCAGCCAATTTTTCTATTTTTTGTAAAGACAGTCTCGCTCTCGTTCAGGCTGGTCTCAAACTCCTGACCTCAAGTGATCCTCCCGCCTTGGCCTCCCAAAGTGCCAGGGCTACAGACATGAGCCACTGCGCCTGGCTTTCTTTCTCATTTTATAGGAGAGGCCAGATGGAGAAATTTTGCCTAATCACACAGATGGGGGTGGGGGTGGGGGATTGAAGGGTTCTGGGGACCTCTGTGCATGTAAAGTAGGCAACAGGAAGTATAAAGGACAGGTAATGGAAGAGCAGGGCAGAGAGGTCCAGTGGAGGGATTCCAGGAAGACTTCTCAGAGGAGGTGGCAATGATGATGGACCAAGAGGGCATAACAGTGACGGAGGATACTCCTTATATGACTCCTTTTGGCCACAGTAAGTCACCATGTGCTAGTATGTCCCCAACCCCAAACACCTGCTCTCCTCCCAGGCCCCCTTGGCTCCCAGAACAGCCAGTGTAACTAGGGGGCAGGGGGGAGTAGCTTCCAAAATGAGAGTGAGCCTCCTTCGTCTTACAGCTGGAGGGGGCCTCAGAGGCCCCCCTCCTGATTTCAGGCTCGAGCACTTTCTCCTGACCCCATAAGAATTACAGCCGATACTTACTGAGCACCAGGTTCTAGTCTAAGTACTCATTTAAACTTCAAACCGACTCTTTGAGAAAGGTGCTAATATTATCCCCATTTTTCTGTTGAGGAAGCTGAGGTTTGGTTAAGCCGTTTTCTCAAGATCTCCTAGCTGGTGAGGGAGCCGCACCGAGGGTTAGTCCCCATCTTCTCTGACTTGAGAGCAGGTGCGTCTGGCCACTCCACTGTGCCGCCTTCCTGCCTCTCTGCCGCTCACTGTCCTCACTCCCTGCTCTGTCCCGGCCCTGGCCTTTTCCTGCCTCTGGCCCCTGTCCACACTAGCGGAGGCACACGGGCCTGCGGCTGGCCCTCCAGCCAGGGGGAAGGAGGGGCTGCATTCACAGATTTCCTAGAGCCTTCGGTACATCTTGTTATCCGAGAACAGCCTGATAAGGTAGGATTGAAATGATTTCCTCGTCACCCCGTAGAAAAGGAAACGCTGACTCAGAGATGTGACATGACTTGCTCAATAGCCAGAGGTGACTTTCGAGGCTGGTGCTCCCTGACGGCACCACACTCCTGCTTCCCCAGCCTGGCATGTCTTCCTCTTGGGAGTCAGGCCTGGGTCCGCTGCCCCCTTAAGACAGGAGGGACGGCTGTGCCACAGGAGGCTTGAGCACAGGGGCCTGCTTCTGCCACCCAGAGCGCAAGCCCCAGCTATCCTGCTGTTCAGGCCAGGCCCAACCAGTGGGCCCAGGGCCTCTGGAACTGACTGCCAGGATGAAGGATGCCTTTGGAGGGACCACAGAGAGAAGCTGCCCCAGCCCAGGGTGGCAGGCAGGGGTGGGGAGGAAGGTGTCTTTGGCATTCGAATAGAGGAATGGCAAGAGCTTGGTCTCTAAATCCTTCCTTAGTCAAGGGGTGCTGGTGCAGTCGTGGCTAGACTGGGGTCTCGTCCAGGGATGTCAGCCTTTATGAATGGGCCTGACCCACTGGGAAAGTTCTAGGGCCTTACGTAGCAGGACACGAGGAGGCCCCTGCCTTCACTTCTAGCCTGACGTGGAGGATCAGTCCTCTGGGAGCAGTCCAACAGAAGCCAAAAGCTATTTGCCTCAAGATGTTCCCTGCAATGTTACCAAAGCTGGGGGGAAGGAAAACTAGCTACATATCCAGTAAGAGATACCCTGGCAACTCACTCTATGGAATATAATGTGTAGTGAACAGCATGGAAAAGACTTGTGTGAAGTTGAGTCTACATCACACTATGTCCCCTGAAGGATGACTCACAGGAACAATTTCTCTTGGTCCCAGTGCCAGGAAACTCTGTGTTTCTCAGGGCACTTGCTTGGCTTTTATCTTTTGGGCTCTACATGTCTGTTTGCTGACCATGTTTCCCTTTTAGCTTGGACTGTCGGGAAGCTCCAAATCAAACTGATGGCCTGTCTCTCACACTGTATGGCAGGGCTTTTGCATACCAATACTGCTGGTGGCTTTATTTTCTTGTCCTTCTCCCAAATATCCTCCTATTATTACAATTAACAATCCTGGCCGGGCGCGGTGGCTCATGCCTGTAATCCTAGCTCTCTGGGAGGCTGAGGCGGGCGGATTGCTTGAGCTCAGGAGTTCGAGACCAGCCTGAGCAAGAGCGAGACCCCGCCTCTACTAAAATTAGAAAGAAATTAATCGGCCAACTAAAAATATATAGAAAAAATTAGCCGGGCATGGTGGCGCATGCCTGTAGTCCCAGCTACTCGGGAAGCTGAGGCAGGAGGATCGCTTGAGCCCAGGAGTGTGAGGTTGCTGTGAGCTAGGCTGACGCCACGGCACTCACTCTAGCCAGGGCAACACAGTGAGACTCTGTCTCAAAAAAAACAAAAACAAAAACAAAAAACAATCCTGTTGTGTTGTATGCTGTATTTGTAAACTAGTTCAGGCTTTTTTTAATGGACTAGGGTGGACAGGAGAAAGGAAAGAAGAGGAAAGAGGAAGTTAAATGAAAAAAACTTGAGAGGAAAATGATTCTACTAACATTCTCATCATTTTCAGCTGCAGAGCACCAATTCTCTTGTAGAGATAAATTGACACCTGTCAACTGGTACAGGTTACAGGTTCCTGGTTAGAAACCTCAAAACTACATGATTGATAAAAGAGGAAAATGCAAAATAAAACAATGAGATATCACTTTTCATCCAGAAAATTGGCAAAAATTTGTTCTGACAATACCAAGAGGTGGCATGGATAGACACTGACAGGCACATCTATGCTGCTGACGGGGTACACACTGGTCGACTGCAGATGTGGCACACACGAAGCCGCACACAACTGTGACTCAGCGATTACACACCTAAGTGTCTGGACTCTAAAGGAACTCTTAGACATGTGCACAGAAGACTTTTCAGGAAATGTTTGTCTCAGCACCGTTTGCAATAGCGAAAAGAAGGAAACATTCTAAATGTTCTCAGCAAGAGAACGACAAATAAATCGTGGTCTAACCATATAATAAAATACTATGCAGCAATTGAAGTGAATGTATCAGTCCAGGCATGGTGGCTCACGCCTGTAATCCTAGCACTCTGGGAGGCTGAGGCGAGAGGATCGCTTGAGGCCAGGAGTTCGAGACCAGCCTGAGCAAGAGCAAGACCCCCGTCTCTACAAAAATATAGAAAAAATAGCCAGATGTGGTGGTACACACCTGTAGTCCCAACTACTAAGGCAGGAGAATTGCTGAGCTCAGGAGTTTGAGGGTGCAGTGAGCTATGCTAATGCCACTGCACTCTACCTGGGGCAACACAGCAAGACTGTGTCTCAAAAAAAATAAACAAATAAAAATAAATAACTCAAAATGAATGAGTTAGAGCTACATGTGCTGCTATGAACAAAGATCAAAACATAAAGTTAAACAAAAACAGCAAACCGCAGAAGGTTATATAAGCTCAATTCCATTTCTACAAAGCTCAAAATTACAAAAAACATATTATATTTTGTTCATGGTCTCATATATACATCTTACGTGTATAAAGACACAAATGGGGACAGTAAACACCTGAGTCAGGACAGAGCCAAGGAAGAGGAGGGTGATGGGGCAGGGTTGCCGTGGGGGCCGGACACATGGATGTGGATTGTATTATTGCCCATTCCATTCGGGACGGATAAACATTTCATTAAAACGAAGAAAAATGATGTGAACACTGTCGTTGCAGCCAGGTGAAAACATTCTGCTTGCATCGGGACAGGGATGCGAAGGAGACGTGTGAAAGTCTATGGTGCTGGGGAGTAGGCGCACCCTTGTCCTGGGTCGGCTGTGATGGGGCCTCTCTTGCAGGCTTCCTGGTCCAGGGCTCCACCGGCGAGTTCCCCTTCCTGACCAGCAGCGAGCGCCTGGAGGTGGTGAGCCGCGCGCGCCAGGCCATGCCCAAGGACAAGCTCCTGCTAGCCGGCTCCGGCTGCGAGTGTGAGGCCAGAATGCCCGGGCCCTGGGGGGTGGCTGGGTGCCCAGTGTCCAGGCTCCTTGGTCCTGGGCTCGGGTTCTGTCTCCTTGTTCTGCCTCTTCTGGGACACACTGAGGCACCCTTACTTGGCCTGGTGCCTGGCCCAGGCCTCCTTCCGCCTGCTCTCACCTCCCTCCTTCCTCCTGCAGCCACTCAAGCCACGGTAGAGATGACTGTCAGCATGGCCCAGGTCGGGGCTGACGCGGCCCTCGTGGTGACCCCTTGCTACTATCGTGGCCGCATGAGCAGTGCAGCCCTCATTCACCACTACACCAAGGTGGGTTCGAGGCCTGGGACCAAGAGGAGGCTCTGCCCAGGGAGAGGAGACGAGAGAAGCTAGGAGCAGAGTGAAGCCTACGTCACATGAAAGGCAGCTCTAGGAGATGGATGGCATGTCCTCTTGTATGTGCTGTGTGACACTAGGCAGCTTACCTAACCACTCTGTGTCACTGTTTCCTAAGATGGGAGGAGCAATGGCATCCACCTCATAGGGTTGTTGTGAGCATTAAATGAGGTCAGGAACATAAAGGGCTTAGGACTGTGCCTAGCATGTGGAAAGCACTCTATCAATATTACCCATTACTGTTGCTTACAATCAGGGCATGTAGCACCAGTGGCTGATGGCTAAGGAGGGGGCCCTGCCCAGGTAGCCCTGCAGTGATGCAGGCCAGGACTTGGGGCAGGCCTCCAGACCCAGGACCTGGGGAGGCTGCCTGCTCCCCCTCTTCTCTGCACCCCCAGGTTGCTGACCTCTCCCCAATCCCTGTGGTGCTGTACAGTGTCCCAGCCAACACGGGGCTGGACCTGCCTGTGGATGCGGTGGTCACGCTCTCCCAGCACCCGAATATCGTGGGCATGAAGGACAGCGGTGGTGATGTGAGTGGCCACAGCTCCCGGGCTGGAGCACCCTCTCCTTCTCTGGGCCCTAGCACTTTTGCTACCAACTGCAGGACAGCTCTGAGATCCGTTTCAGTCCTGGGCTCCTGACTGGGGCCTCTCCGTCGTGTGGGCTCTCTGGGGCTTTCTCTGAACTTTGGGGCATCTTTTGGGGAACTGGGCTGTTATTCTACACTTGCCCAGGCTGGTGGCCAAGGCTCTGGGCCCAGCTCTTATGCCACATTTGCTGTTGCAGGTGACCAGGATTGGGCTGATTGTTCACAAGACCAAGAGGCAGGATTTCCAGGTGTTGGCTGGATCAGCTGGCTTCCTGTTGGCGAGCTATGCCTTGGGTAGGCCTCCTGCTGCTCTTAGACTATCATGGGCAACCAAGATGCACCCAGGCAGCTGGATCTGCTGAGAGAGACCGTGAGGGCTGGGGCTGGGTCTGCAGAGGGTAGTTTGCCAGCCTACCTGCTCTGAAACCTCAGAACCTGGTCACACTGCTTGCTTGTCTGAATACTGGGTACTCATGAGTGACCTTGTAGGGTATAGGAGGGTGGCCACGTACAAACCCTGGCCTGTAGGAGGGATGCCTGTGGTTTGTGCTAAGTCCCAAGCTCCATGCTTAGATGACAAATTTAGCTCCCCTAAGCTTACCTTGTAAATCATTCTCTGAGGGCAGAGGCCTTGGGGCCCTCCTCTCTGGTTCAGGAGTCCGTTTTCCTGTCCCCCTGTCCCAGCCAGAATGAACTGTCAGACCTTCAGCGTTGGGCCATAGATCTTCAGCTCCCTGATCAGATTCTGTTCCAGTCCAGGATCCTAGAAATGTCCCTTAGACCAACTGCTCTTGTCTGTTTTCAGTCAAGATCCTTGGGTTCCGATTGGATTGAGCCCAGGAGGGGAGGGCAGGGTAAGGGAGGGAAGCATCTGCCCCCTCCGGCTGAACCCCCAGTGAGTGGATTTGAGTGACCTTCCCTGCACTGTAGGGGACAATGCTGGTTCCTATGCCCTCTGGGCTCTGCAGATTTTGGCTTGAAGTCCTTACGCATCTCCCTCTGCCATGACACCGTGCAAGGAGGGGATCCACTTCTGCCTCGTCCCTGAGGTTGGGGTAGATGGAAAGAGCACAGGCTCTGGAGGCTGGGGGATCCAAGCCAGAATCTCAGCTCTGCCATTTATTCACTGAGTACTGCAGGGCAAGGCACTCAGCCTCTCTGGGCCTGAGTTTCCACTCCAGAAAGCACAGAGGTATTGCGAGGATTAGAGAGCATAAGCCCTGGGTCTGCCACAGTGCCTGGCACACAGTACGTATTCTGTAAGTGGCGGCTCTATTAGCGCATTCCACATTGCTTACTGTCTCTCCAGTCCTGAGGCCACTGTGCTTAGGGCCACTCCTAACTAGCCTTAGAATCCGACTTGCAGGCTTACAGAAGTGGTAGGGCTTTCTGAGATCATAGCCAACCCATTTTCATTGCCCAGATGAGTACAAAGAGGGCTAGAGAGTCTTGTCCAAGTTCATGCAGCCAATGGGAGGAAATACCCTGTCTCCTGTGTCGAGAGCTCTTTCCACTCCCCCACCCCACCTCCACCGCTGTCCCAGCTGAACTCACTGAGGGGAATAAGATTTCAGAAGAGCAAAGGCTTCCCATCCATTCCACCCCTTTCCAGGACTGATGAGTCAGGGGGACGCTGGAGGTGCCAACCGGCAGGTGGGACTTTACTCTGGGAGGGGTGCAGGCAGGAACTGTCCTTGAGCTCTCCTTTAATGCTACCTGCCCCCCACAGATCAGCTCTGAGCAGCACTCTGTGGGCAGGACTCTATTTTGCATATGCAGGCAGCTTTTCTGTCTGAAAATGTGTACTCTGGACTCACAGAGCATGCCCGTGACATGGCCAACCAGTGGCATAGAAATTCGTATCTTATGTCCCTAGAAGGAAGAGGAGCTGGGGACCAGGGTTTGGGATTCTTTGTGGGAAGAGGCCTGGCTGATGTTCTGCATCTTACTCTGGGACAGGAGCTGTGGGGGGCGTGTGTGCCCTGGCCAATGTCCTTGGGGCTCAGGTGTGCCAGCTGGAGCGACTCTGCCTCACGGGGCAATGGGAAGATGCCCAGAAGCTGCAGCACCGCCTCATCGAGCCAAACGCCGCGGTGAGCCAATGGCAGCAGTGGGGGTGGGGGGATCTGTGTCCTCATTGGAGCAGGACCTAGGGCTGGCACGGGGTCCCCACTCAGTGGTTTCCCTTTAAGAAAGTCCTTTTAGAGAACATCCCACTGTGGGAATTCCTTATGCCTCCCCAGAAAATCCTAACTTTAGACAAAGTTGAGCTCTATTGGTTCTCAAACTGAAGTGTGCATTAGAATTCCCTTAGGAGGCTAGTTAAAATTCTAATCCTTCAGGCACAAGAATATGCATTGAAACAAACATCTCGAGTGACTGTGACATAAGTAATCCTAGGACCATACTTAGAGATGCTCTGCTCAGAGAGAGTGAGCCAAGGGCCTTTAAATCAGCTTTATAGGGGCCAGATCCTAAAAAAAAAAAAACAGAATGATTGGGGGTAGCAAAAGAAGGGTTGGAAGGCTAAAGGTATCAGAGCCCAGATTTTCCAGGAGGGTTCTGTCTACAAATAGTCTATTCTGCAGTCAGAGCGTGTACTCCAATTCTGTGCTGGGCAAGCCAAGGAGAACTTAAGATGGAATACCTGTCAAGTTCAGAGCTATTTAAAGTCTGAGGCAACAGAAAAATGTGTGCCCCTATATACATATTTTAATGTGAATTTGAAATTAAACTTGTTATTTAGAGATAATTATAGATTCACATGCAATTTTAATTAATAATACTGAGAACCCCCAGTTTCCCCCCATGGTAACATCTTACAAAACTACAGAATAAATTCACAATCAGGATATTGACACTGATTCAAGATACAGAATGTTTCTGTCACCATGAGGATCCCTCATGTTACCCTCTTATAGCCACGCCTACACCCCCTCTTTAACCCCTTGCCACCACAAATATGGTCACCATTTTTATAATTTTGTCAGTTCAAGACTTACTATATGAAACCATACAGCATGTAACTTTTGGGGATTGGCTTTTTTCACTCGGCATAATTCTCTGGCGGTTCATCCAGGTTGCTGCGTGTATCAATAGTTGATTCCTTTGTATCTCTAAGTAGTATTCCACAGTGCAGCTGTACCACAGCATGTTTAACCACTGCCCCTGTTGAAGGACAGCTGGGTTGTTTCCAGTTTCTGGCCGTTGAAAACTGCTGTGAACATTCATGCATAGGTCTTTGTGTGACTGTAAGTTTTCACCTTTCTGGGATAAATACACAACATTGCACTCAGTGGGTCATATGAT